TGACAACTCTCTGAATTGCCGGTTAAAACTCTAGCGAGGTCAGCCAACTGGAGATGAGGGCAGAGGGTTATTTTCTGTGGAAATGCATTTAAGATTCTTTCTATGACTCTGCATCCTCAAGTTCTAATCTCACAAAGAATCAGCCCATTTGATTTCTTCATTTCAGCCGTGAAAGACGTAATAGATGGCAGGGAGACTATGATTCCAGAGTCACGAGTGTTAGGACCGTCTCTGCGCTTTTCGGAGTTTAATGTGTATATAATTTACTCAAGGGATATTTTAAGCATGTAAGTTCTTTCTCAGCAAGTCCAGGATGGCCTCTGAGGCTACAAATTTATGTCAAGTTCCAAGGCATGCTTCTGGTCCATGGAAAGCAGTCTGGCTCACTCCCAGAGGAAGAGGTGATGGGCATACCTGGAGAAGGCTTCCGCAGGCCACACCCTGTCTTTTAGTAGAATTTCAGTGGCTGTGTTTCTTAGATGTACAGCTGTCCCTTGGTATCTGTGGGCACTGGTTCACCACAGATACTGCAATCCACAGATGCTCAAGTCCCTTATGTCAAATGGTGTAGCACTATACAGTTCTTCCTATATAATACCTGACATGATGTATACACTTTATAAATAATTGCTGTACTGTAATGCTTAGGGGTAATGAGAAGGAAAGCAACCTGTACATGTTTGGTATCGACGAATTGTTTTTTTCAAGTAGTTTTCTGATCCATGCTTAGTTGAATCCAGGTATAGAACCATTGATACAGAGAACTGACTATAGATTTACACTTCTACATTTTGTTGAAAGAAACCATTGATTTAATGTTTTATTTGTTTGGATTTAATTTTATTGTGTTGAATTCAGTTCAAAGTCCACTTGGGTTTCAACATAACTTATCAAAGAGTCTTCTACTTTTCACAAATTTGTGAGACCTAACTTTCATGGTTTTCTTACATAATCTAGAACCCAATTCTAGACTATTCTTTATGACAGGATTGTGGTAGCTTTATTGCATTCTCTCTTGACGGTTCTCATGTAATTATAGGGGTGTACTTATAAATAATAAATTGAAACACTTATTATAATAAATAGCTATTGTGTGCATTTATTTATTTATTTATTTATTTGTGTGTGTGTGTGTGTGTGTGTGTGTGTGTGTGTGTGTGTGTGTTTGTGTGTGCCCATGTGCCATTGTGCACATGTGAGGCTCAGAGAGCAGTTTGTGCGAGCTGACTCTTTTCTTCCATAGTGTGGGTCCTGGGGATTGAAGTCAAGTCACTAGGCTTGGTGGCAAGTATCTTAACCAATGTGCTATCTTACCCACTGCTTTTATACTTTTAGCAGGAGTCTGTTTTTCTTTTTTCTTTTTTTTTCAAGACAGGGTTTCTCTGTGTAGTTTTGGAGCCTGCTCTGAAACTCGTTCTGTAGATCAGGCTGGCCTTGAACTCACAGAGATCCACCTGCTTCTGCCTCCCAAGTGCTGGGACAAAGAGCTTGGTTGAGTCTGTATTTCTTAACACAGTGCCACAGTTCCTATTAAACTTATTCCAAGGTGTCAGATTCTTTTTGTTCTCTTAAATAATTATAATATATATATATACATATATATATATATATATTATGTCATAGTTGTCTTTACACTCAACTTTATATTTATGACATGGTCACTAGCCATAGGCAGCAATTTAAGCTTGTCAATCAAAGCAAAATAGGACATAAAATTTAGTTTCCCCTTCATATTAACCACATTCCAAGTATCCAGGAGCCACAGACAATTAGTGGGTACCACACTGAAGCTCAGATATGAAGCCTCTTTAAGAGGTGCTACAAATTTCTGTTTTGCAGTTGTCTGGTGTGTTATTGTTGATACATTAATTTTGAACCAGCTATTTCAATTTATCTCTTGGATTTTCCAAGAAAGAAGTAATTTTTTTTGGATCAAACTTGTGTTCTTTTTCTGAAACAGTATGAGACCATCTTCCTTCCTATCAATGAAAGCAGAGCTGGCAATTATATGGCAGAAGAGTTGTCCCTCCCCACTTGTGTCCATGGTAGTCATCACTAATCAATTACAGCACTTGTGCTATTGAAACTTTCCCTCTTTAGTGTTCTGTACTTCTCCATGGAGACACAATATTAACTACAGTGGGGTGGAGAGAGGGGACTAAAGCCCCTCTCCATGGTTTGGAGAACACATGTGGCAGGAGTTTGGGGTGTTGTGGAATATTAGCTAAAGATGTGTTAGAGTATTTTATGCTGTGGAGTATTTGTTTAATGATGCAAAGATGTGTTGCATTCTTTTATGTTGCATTTGTTTACCTCTGCAAAGCTGTGTTACTTTGCCTGCCTAAAACACCTGACTGGTCTCATAAAGAGTGGAACGGCCAATAGCTAGGCAGGAGAAAGGATAGTAGGGGGCTGGCAGGCAGAGAGAAGAAATAGGAGAAGAAGAGAGAAGAGTAGGAGGAGGAGTGAGAGGAGGAGAAGAGGAGGATGCGAGGGGCCAGCCACCCAGCTACACAACCTGCCGCCAAGTAAGAAGGAAAGAAAGGAACATAGAATAGAGAAATGTAAAAGCTCAGAGGCAAAAGGAAGATGGAATAATTAATTAAGAAAAGCTGGCTAGAAATAAGGCAAGCTAAGGCTAGGCATTCATAAATAAGAATAAGTTCCATGTATTAATTTGGGAGCCTGGTGGTGGGCCTCCAAAGAGCAAAGAGTAAAACAACTAAGGACATTGGGGTTGCTGAATTTCCACTGAAAGATACTGTCTGAACACCAGATGGTTCTGGGGGAGGTGCCTTTCTGAGGTGTGGGCAGGCAGCTTCTTGAACTGTCTTTGGTGGCATCCATGGGATCAGTTTTGGGGATCTTGGGATGGAATCTATAGGACAGGAGAGCAGAAGTTGGGATTCAAACTCAGTCACAGAAAGCCCATAGAGGCCATGACTGACTGGCAAAGGCTGTCTGGGCCCTGACGTGGGATGATGAAATCTGCCCATTGTGTGGTGCCTCAAAGCCAGCCCACACCCTTTTGTGACTGTCTGGGTAAAGGCTATCATGGGGCTGGTTATTGGCGAAGGGCGTGCTCCAAAGGAGGGAGGTGTCCCACCTTTAGAAAACATCGCTAACTGCTCATGTCGACCATTGCTGAGGTTCTTGAGATCCACAGACAAAGAGGTATTTTGTCGTATTTACTGAGTGGGTCCAGGTGCTTGCTTTCTGCTCAGCGCTTGCTCACGCCATCTCACCTGATACTCACAGCCACCTGAAAGAAAGTGACGTCACTGCTTATCTGAGAGAGAGAAAAAAGCTGAGACTGAGGGAGTTTAGGTTGTTTGCCTGGTGTTTTATGTGCATTGTCTACCTGATTCTGCTCTAGACTTTGTGGCCTACGGCTTGGCTTTTCTTAGTGTGGGAAGTCGGTTTTGACAGATGAAATGCGTGCGCATAAACCCAGAGCCTGTCTTTAGGGCATTTAGAGGATCGTGAAGCGGGGAAGCTGAACAGATCTAGATGCTGAGGGGGCTGTGAGGTAGAGGGCTGGAGCTGGAGAGAGACTAGGGCTGGAGTCAGGCTCTGCCATTTGCTGGCTGTGTGACCCCGAGGAAGTGATTTTCTTTGCTGGGGTTTTATTTTTTGGTTTGTGAGGTACAGAATGGACATGAGAACATCAGTGTGAGGTGGTGCATAGAATGAATCCATTGCTGATTGTAAAGCACAAAAGCCCTAATTCTAGATGTGCTGCCCTGGTCCCCTGTGGCGTCTTCCTGAAGCCTGGAATGTGCAGGTACATGCACAGGGACAGCATCTGTTGGGTGGTAGATGATACAGTGTAACCTACAGCAGCAGAGAGACAGGAAGGGGTGTGTCAGGGCAGGGGTGGGGTGGGGGGAGAACTCGCCTGAAGGGATGTGGGAATTGTGGCTGGCAGGGTCTTCAGGATAAACAGAGGGGAAAGTAAGGGGAGAAACGGGCGCCAGGAGGAACTCAGTGAAAATCAGAGTGGCTCTGTGGTCCACTGAGCACTCACCATGGCCAGTCCTGTGCCAGCTGTTAGCAAACCTCATCTCAGTTACTTCTCACACAAGGCTGGAGTCCAGTTACAATTTTATCTCCAGATGAGGAAGCTGAAGCCGAAACGGGTCAAGTGATTTGTCAAACAGGACCGAGGGGTGCACGTGGTGGGGCAGAATGTGCTCCTCATCCCCAGAGTGTAAAGAGAAAGGGAGGGGTGTGGGCCCATGATTCCAGCCTCACTTACCTCCCAGTGGGGGCCACTCTAGGTCCTATGAGGATTGGGCTCCAAATCGGAAGTCCATGTGCTAAGCCGTGTCTGTGTTCTGCACCGTCTGTGCTGGATCTGACTGTCTAGAGCAGGGGTTCTCAGTCTTCCTAACACCATGCAGTTCATCATACTGTCTGTGGTGAACCCAACCGTAAAATTATTTTCGTTGCTACTTCATAACTGTCATTTTTCTACTGTTCTGAGTCATAATGTAAATATCTGTGCTTTCCGATGATCTTAAGAGATCATGTGAAAGGGTCGTTGGAGCCCCAAAGGGTTGTGACCCCCAGGTTGAGAACTGCTGGTCTAGAAGATTCCCTGTCCCTACAAAGGGAGCATGCAGCATGGGGGAGTTGTGGACAAAAAGGGCAGCAGATACTGTGAGAGATATGTAAATGACGGCACTGTGCTTTCTTCTGTGCCCTGGTTAAAGAAGAGGAAAGAAATGGCTGTCTCTATGTGATGTTTAGCCCATAGCTGCCTGGAGCTAGAGTGAGATGGAGGGGTGTTTATCGACCAAGCAAGACTCTGGGTTCCCATGGTGGTTGGCCCAGATCCTGGCTGTAATACAATCATCACTGAGGCTCCAGAAAAACTTTGATTGGTAGGACTGTCTTTTCTAGGATTTGCTCTCTACATCTGGTGCCTTTTGGGGGGTTAGCAAATCCCTTTTTCTGACTTGCAGGCTTAGTTGACCCACTGTGCTTTCTCTTGCTAGCTGTCTTCTGGGGAGACATTGCCCTGGAGGAGGAGGATCTGAAGTTATTTCACATCGACAAGGCTGAAGACTGGACCAAGCCATCCACGGAGGAAATGGGACACGGCACTGGCAAGTATTGGCCTTCTGATTAGCTTGTACCCCAGTGGGCTGCTTGAGGGCTCCATTAGGAATCTTTGACCATACCACCTCCTCTGATGGAGGCATGGATCTGGGACCTTAAACTTAGTGGCTCTCTCTCTCTCTCTCTCTCTCTCTCTCTCTCTCTCTGTATGTGTGTGTAGCATGTACTCGTTCACACTTGTGCACATGTGTATACAGGATCATGTACAATTGTGTGTGCATGTGTGTGGAGGCCAGAGGTCAAGTGTCTCCCTCTCCCATTCTCTTTTGTGGGACACAATCTCTCATTGGCTAGGTTGGCTGGCCAAAGAGCTTTAGGAATCTGCCTCTCCCTGGACCTTGTCCCCAGCATTGGAGTTACACATGCACACTGCCACACCTAGCTTTTTAACACCAGAGTTGAGCATTCAAAATCAGGTCCTTATGGTACAGCAGGCACCTGATCAACTGAACCATTGTCCTAGCCCAACTCAGCTGATCCTTTGAAGAAAATCTCCAATTGCCTCTATTGGAGGGTTCATCCTAGTGCTGGTTCTTAGGATTCTAGCTTGAGGCTTTGCTTGTCCCAGAATGGAGAGAATTGCTAAGTGGGCTGGATTTAAATAATGTCTGACAATACTGACTCCTGGTTGTCAACCTTGAGATGGAGAGTGGTGAGGCTGGTCCCCTGGGTGTTCCACACCTCCTTGTGCACTGGGCCCTGTAGCTTTGTAGCCTTTTGGTCCTTAGAGGTAGTGCAGGGGACTGAGTGCGGGATTGGGTAACCTTGTGTGTCAGGTGGTAACTTGGTGACTGAGGCTCACAGCACCCTACTGTGAACCTTTCCCCTACACAGCCTTCTTTCTCTTGAAGCTATTTTAACCCTCACCCTGAGTCAAGTTCAGTGCTGGTGAGAGACAAAGAAAGCAGCCTAACTCTTTGCTTTAAGGAGAGCCTCACACCAGGCAGATGGATGTAGATCTGGTTCAGCTTTCCGACCTCTAAAACAGGGGTGAAACTAGTACTCATTCCATAGAGTTTTCAAGGTCGTTGCCAAAGATAGCAGGTTATCCTCAGTGCCTGGCATGTAAGATCTCAAGAAATGGGCTATATCCCTGATGACGTAGTTGGTGATGTCAGGAATAGTCCTGAACACCAGAGAGAGGAGGGTGAGATGTGTTCAGGGCTCCAAGGATACATCAGGAAAATGAACAGCTAGTGGGATTGTCTGCAAAGCTCTCCACAGGGGTTGGCAGATAAAGAGTCAATGTTGTCACTAGGTCGTGGAACCATTGTTAGTGGCTGGGGACTGAAAGGAGCCATTAGACACATCAGACTTCCTTTGTGGTGTCTTGAGTCTACGAGCCACGTTGGAATTTGTATGACCGCTTCTACATGGTCTGAAAGGCTGACTAGGATTTCAGACTAATTGAATCATTCTTCCTGACAGCATACTCACAGCCTTAGCCGTGCTCCAGCACAGCAAACCCTCTCTTGGTGATTTACCACATCTGTTCACACTATTCCTCAGCCCTTCCCAGGGGTCTGGAGAAGATGACCTAATGAATGGTCATCTTAAAATGGTTCTTAAACCACTTTTTCAGTATTCCTCAAAACCAGCGAACACTAAATATCTCGCACACACACTGTGATGGACTTTATACTGTGGCGCTCATGTGGTACATCCCAGATCCCAAAGACTCCTATATGTCCCCCATAGTCATTCATTCCAGTGTCATTTCTAATCTAACCTTGCCCTGTTTTGCCTGTGCAGTCCGGACCCTGCAGTGAGTGTTATTCTGTTATCTTGTACTAACCTTCACTATTGCAAAATTCACCCACACGGTTGATGGAACAGTTCATTCCTTTTCAGTGTCGTGAACTGTTCTGCTAGTTGGATGGACCCTAGCTTAGCTGATAATTTTCTGTTGACAAACATTTGGGTAGCACAGGGTCTCTTGCTGTAATAAAGCTAATAATGGGAGAACCGATCACCTTAAGCACCCCTTGCTCCTGGGCAGCTGCCCTGGGTGGAATGGCAGGGTCCAGGGTTTGAGTTGATACTGTCAAAAAATCATTTTCAAATGTGATCATACCAATTCGCTCTCCAGGTTGAGCATGCTTAGAGAGCAAAGTGATACCCATGCGGAGTCTGCCTCTGGGGAGTGCCATCAATTTTGGATCTTGGACTCCTTAACATGGGACTCCTGTTGCCCTCTGGCTCACACAACAGGCCCATGTGTCATTAGGAATTCGCAGAGTTGCAGTATCAGCTGTCTTCCTGCTGCTCCCAGGCACTTTGCATACCATAGCTTGAGGGTTCTGGAAGAGCAAATGTGAGGGAAAGGCTTCAGAGAGCCTAGGCAGTGGCCAGACACCATACCATGTACAGCTGCTAGAGAAGGATGTCACCTGAGGATGCTGTGGTGAAGGAAAGCCCAGTGATTTGCTTTTCTCAAGACACTTACTCAGGGACGTGGGACTCCAGCATCTATCTTCTCTGTTCTTATCCTGTGAGCTAATAGAGGGCAGATCACATTCAGTCTGGAACTCCCCAGAGGCAGACCAGCACCTTGGACCTAGAAGATGCTGGCCAGTGTTGATGGAGACAAGAAGACAGTGGTAGGGGAAGTTGCAGACCCTGGCCCTTTTCAGGAAAAGGTGTGCCAATAGGGCGTTGGTCCCAGAAACATGCTATGAGCACTGATCACAGTAACAGGCTTTGGGCTTACACTACCTGGACTAAATCTTAGGCAGGCCTCAGGTTTTTTTTGTTTTGTTTTTTTTGTTTTGTTTTGTTTTGTTTTTTTTATCTGTCAAATGGGAATAGAAATAATTCTTGCCTTTGAGTGAGATCCTGAGCACACAGGAAAGAACATATATGATGTGTCTGGCACCTGATACATGTTCAATAAATATAAATTCTTGGTATTTGTGAAGAGAACCCTGAGTAAGAAAGGATTGGAATCAGTGAGGACTGGGGAAACTGCCAACGCAGAAGGGTTTGGGGACCCGGACACCAGGCCTCTCACTGATGCTCCTCCCTCCTTTCTCAGCTCAATGCAGGAGCTTTTCTCAGGGTGTTTTCGTGGCCAGGTGGTTTTTATTCCAATTGCTTTTCTCTGAGGGTCAACTGCACTTTATATCTATCTAGAATAGTTATTTTATTTTCAGGTTGGGATTTTTTTTATTGATTTTGCTGATTAAACTAACACTGCTTGATTTTTTTTTTAAGTGCCAAGGCTCGTAAGTGGAAAAGGGAAATGCTGTTATCCCAGCCTCAGGGATCACTGACACTATCTATTTGCAGGATTACTTTCTATCTTGATGTGCCATGGCCGTGTGTGCAACCACACACACACACACACACACACACACACACACACACACACACACAC